CCCCCGCACCCCGCACCCTGCAGCAGCATGGAGCCCTCTCCACCGAGCTTGACCAGCACCTGCGGCACCCCCCTCCCAAGCAGCGCCCGCCCCGCGGCCTCGACCTCCCCCAGGCTGCCCGTGGGCCGCCGCGCCAGGCGCGCCAGCTCGGTCTCGTTTGGCGACAGCAGGGTCACCTGGGACAGCAGCTCCCGTGACAGAGGCGCCTCTACGCCGCCCGCGTCCAGAAAGACGGGCACGCCCGCGGACCGCGCCGCCTGAGCCGCGCAGCGCCGCGCGGCGTGGCGCGTGGCGGCGCGCGCAGGTTGTGCGGGTGAACGGGATGGAAGGGCGTGTGTCGCGGGGCCCACTGCCGGCTGCTCGGATGTGGGATTGGGCACGTGCAGAGCCCTTGCACACTTATCTGCTTGTCGACCAGCCACTTCAACTCGATTCGCAGCTCCTTGCATTGTGGGTCCGCCCCCCTCCAATGACACAACCTGCCCCCACCTTGGCCACCGCGATATTGACTTTCTCAGGAATCTCCCGCTGCAGCAGCACCGCCCCCGCGGAGCGCAGCAGCTGCTGCGCGCCGGGTGCCAGCCGCCAGGACCGGTCGTCCTGGTTGGCGCCGCCCACTATGATGATGCTGTTCTCGCCTGCAAAAAGAGTGGTCGAGGAGCAGGAGGGGGAGGAGCGCAGACGCATGTGGTGATTGGGGCTCACATGCACCTGGTGATATAATTTGAGATTTGGTCCGGCTGGCGTGCACCTCAAAGCAGGCCTCCAGCTGCCAGATGGATGGCGGGCCGCTGAAGTGTGGGCTGGCTTTGCAGTTGGTGTGGTTGTGTGAGGAGGGTCCGAGGTTAGGGGACCCTGTGGTCACCTGAGGGCTGCAGCAGGATGACGGCGGTGCCGCTGGGGCCCTCAGTGGCGCCTAGATGGTCCAGCCGCACGCCGCACCCCTCCAGGGCAGCGCGCAGTGGCCCGGCGTTGGCGTCGGTGCCCGTGGCGCCTGTGCGGCCGCGAGGGGGGAAGCCGGGGGGCGAAGGGGGCTTGCAGCCGCAAGGGGGAAGGGCCGCTGTTGTGGCAGCAAGGCGGCTTCATCCCATTCGGGCAGCCAGCAATAGCGGCAGCCGCAGCCAAACACGCATCAAGCGCACCGGCAAGCAGCCGGCCCCGCACCAATGAAGTATGTTGGATAGTTCAGGCGCGCCGCCGCCGCCGCCTGGTTGGCGCCCTTGCCGCCCGGGAAGAAGCTCAGGGAGGACGCCCCCAGCGTCTCGCCGGGCGCGGGGATGCGTTCGACCGCCAACACTATGTCCGCGTTGATGCTGCCCACCACCACCAACGGCTTGCGCTCAGGGCGCGGCGCAGGCAGCGGCCCGTCATCGCCAGCGGCGCGCGGCGCGAGAGGGCCGCGGCGCGCTGGTGCTGGGGTAACGGTGGGTCGGGGCGCACCGGCGGCGACGCCGCTGCTGCTGGCGCAAAGGAGGACCCCGCGTCTGCTGCGCGTGGAAGCGGCGCAGCGGTCCGCGGCGTCCCGGTGATTCAAGATGCGGTGACAAGGCACATGCACGACGCGAGCAGTCGCAGCTGTCAGTGATACCATGCTTGGCCTATGTAGCGCCTTCATTGAGCGAGCCGACGGTTGGAAAAACGAGATCTGTCGCGGTGCGGTGACAGTGTTATTGCTGACGCAGATGCCAATGGACCAGCTCGATTAGATGACTATGCGCACGTGCAAGTGTTTCTGCTATACATACCGCATGCACTGCCGTGGTCAACTCCCGGTACCGTACCAGCAACGGGCACAGAGTGCACACACGGGACATGGTCATGCAGCATTGCCTGCCAATGGGCCAAGTTGCCATGCGGCGTCCACGCTCCACCCCAGATACACCCAGGGCCGCTTTATTCCCGGTATCCCATTGCTTGTTACATCGGCAGCAGACCCGAACTTGCGCTGCTTTGCCCAAAAGCACAATGTATTGCAGCAGAAAGTCATTTGGTTTGTATCCAGATAGCGTCAGCATCAATATCAGCTCCATATCAACATGCATTGATCAGTAAATGAGCATTCCAGTGCACATACTTCACCATAGTGCTCAGACGCTGACATGCACGCTCTCACACACGCACTTGCGCGCACACATGCACACTCTTGCACACACCACAAACAAACAGACTCACAACCAGCCACGGGCAGCCGGCGCTGCCATCAAAATGCTCCTAACCGCTCAGGGCGCGCTGCACCACGTCCGCCTCTGCCGGCGACAGCGCGAGCTTGAGCGCGGCGGCGCGGCCCTTCTCCCCCATCTTGCCCCAGGTCTTGCGCACAATGTCCACCATCTGCGCAGGAGCAAGTCAGCGGTGGCATGTTAGGGCAGCTCCTCAGTAAAGATTTGCGCCGAGTGCGATCAATGCATGCATGCGTTCTACAGGTCAAGCAGACGACGCCTTTGCCCTGCGGGGCGCCGCGCTAGAGGATGGCCCCCCCTCAACCCAAGCAAAGAGCGCGGTCGCCCTCCGCAGCCACGCGCTGCTGGGTTTGCTGTGGTGCCCACCCCTCCCTTTCTCTTCTACCCTCCCCTGCCCCGGCACGTGCCTTGTCTGCCCCCTCCTTCTCCAGAAGCTCGGCAAACTGGTGCTCCAGGAACACCAGGCAGAGCGCGTCCTCGACAACCTGGAGGGGTGTTGAGGCGTGGAGCATGTGGAACATCGACACCGCAGTGGATGTGTGGCGAGCTGCCCACGCCACCTTGACGGTGCTGGGCAGTACGCGTGGCCTCGATACCGCAGGTCACACTACATACAAACGGTGCAGGGGAACGCGGGCGCGGCCTTGCTGCGCCCTGCCATGGGCTGCATCGACACTCTTGGGCGGCCCCGCCAACCCCAACCTCCCGCGCCGTCGGACACGCAACCCCCCCCTTGTCGCCCCAACCTCGGTCGCCAGGCCGCGCTGCGGCCACGCAGTACCAACCCCTTGTTGAGCCCGCGGCCGCTGCCCCGGCGCGGCAGCTGCAGGACTCACCTGGTTCTCCTCGTCTGTCATGAGGTCCAGCTTGTTGATCATGCGCTTCACACGCGACACGGCGGCCTCTGGGTACCCGGCCTCGGCCATGAGGCCGGCCACAGTGTCGGCGTGGGCGCGCTTCAGGTCCGCGCGCCACTTAAGGTAGCCGGCGCGGCCCTGCGCAGGGGTTGGGGGTCAGGCGCATCCCGAGCGGCGAGAGGGCGTGTGGTGGGGGTGTTGGGAGCGGCCCCGCAAATGTGCACTGCTGGAGGTTGGGGAAGGAGGTGAGTGCAGGAGCTGGAGGATGCGTTCCGCGGCTGCGTCCGGAGCGCGGGCCTGAAAATGAGTTGCCAGATCTCGCGACCTCAGCGCCCCCAGCCCTACTGCTACGCATCCAGTCCGGCCTGCAATTGCGGGGGGCTCAAACCTCCGGGTAGGTGTCGCGCGGGGACTTCCAGCGCGCCACGTGCTGCCCGCGCGCCACGATCAGCAGCTCGTCGGATGGCGAGGGCTGCAGCCGCGCCACCCATTCGCTGAGCCATCGGGAGTACCTTCGGAGGGAGAGTTGGCAGGGGAGTGGCCTGGTGGCAACGGGCTTCCTCAATGCCTACTCGCACGCTCCAGAGCTGCTTGAAGCCTTGAGCTCAAGGTGTTTATATGGAGGGACACATCAAATGGCAGAGCGCCGGCAAGCCAATGGCGGCGCTGGGGCGCGGTACTGCACAAAAGATTGACACATGGTGCTGTTTCCACTGTGCGCGTTGCTTCCTATGCCCGGCTACTCACGCCAGCTCGTACGGAAGCTCCTCCCCCTGCCACGTGGTCTTGCGTGGGTCCTGGGAGTTGATCGAATCGATGTCTGACAGCACCCGCTGCAGCCGGTCAGTGCTGGCGGACGCGCGCGCCACCACTTGCCGCCGCGCCGTGGCTGCAACGCGGGCACAGGCTGCCAGGTGCCGCCAATGGTGGTTGCTGGAACGCACACGTGCTCCCACCGACCGCGTTGAAATCATAGTGTAGATTACACTTGACGTTATGCAAGATCGGGTGTAGTGTAGCAAGCTTCCTTCGGGTGATCTGACAAGCCGGCCTCAGATTATAAAACAGGGATGACAACCTTAGCCGCCACAAATGCCATGCACCACCGATCGGTCACACGCAACTCTCAGTGAGCAGTTACAGGTGCAGTTACCCAGCTGTCGCGACCTGCTGTCACCTGTTCAGCACGTGGCTTGTGGCTGTGCAGCACAGAGTCACCAGGCGGATAGTGCAGAGTACGTTGGCAAAATGAACCGTTTGTGCACGCGTGCACGTGCGTGCATCTGTTTTAGCGCGCAAGATGCGGACTGCAGGCCGTGGCAAGGCAGGCCGTGGCAAGGCAGGCCGTGGCAAGGCAGGCCGTGGCTCAGTGGCAAAGCAGTCATCTGCACTCATATTGCAAGACGAAGCGCCACTACTCACAAAGGTCATATGCATGTGATTGTGCAGGGGTGGTGGGGGGCATGCGGCTCTAGGCTACCAAGATCACGAGGCTTGGGTGTGCAGTGAGGTTGCTGCTGGCAATGGGTGCCTCCATTTTTAATTGCAAAGTCTACACAGCATTACAGTTGCCCTTGCAAAGCATCTTTGTGCTGGGATACGAAAGCTGGACCACTTCACTACTGCCGCCTCATTGCTCTTAAGTTGCTGATTCACTCGATGCTGGCTCGAGTCCAGGTCATTGCGAGAAGCTGTTGCCTGAAAACCAACCAGTATTATGAGTTTTATTCACGATCATATCTCATAGTGCACATTTTTTTACCGTACCTGCCGTCTTCATCGCTTGTGATCGCTGGCATCGAGGTGAGCTCGGTTCTCGAGCGAACATTTCGCCGAGACGATTCCGATTGGCCCGTGCGCAGTGTTACAAATTATGATGTTCATTTCTTGCATTCATTTGAACGAGGGGCCCTGTCACAGCGGGGCTCATGCCTGCGTGGCCACTGCTTCTCCCCTCGGAAAGTTCTACTACTCCATCGAGGCGCCCACGCCGAACCACCCATTGAAAGGTCTCAAGTCATGAACCAAGCCCCTCCAACCAGACTCTTGGCTAGCTCGGGTGCGGGATTCGTGGACCAGGACTCCTGGAGCAACAGGGGGCAGCAGCAGCAGCAGCAGCAGCAGCAGCAGCAGCAGCAGCAGCAGCAGCAGCAGCAGCAGCAGCAGCAGCAGCAGCAGCAGCAGCAGCCGCCGCCACCCAAGGGCTTCGTGGCACCTGTGAGTGGGGCTTGATATACATCGCAACCGTCTTGGGTTTGCGGATGGTGTGGATTCTTTTGGCAGCTCAAGTGGGTTGTTTTGCGAGTATGGCCGACACTTGTTTCTGCTGCGTCCCCGACACTGCTTTGGCGTTGCCCATGTGCGTGCCATTGCAGACAGAGGAGGAGCAGCTTGAGTGCAGGGCCAAGGTCACAGCCGTCATTAACAACCAGGCTGTGTGGTGCGCGAGCTGATCACAAGCAGCTTGCTTGCTTGGGGCGCCTTCCAGAGGGCAATGTGCCGCCACCGTGCAGCAACCTGGCAATGCATAGCGCCGCCTTGCCTGCTTGGTCCCCCCTTTTGCAACCTCCCTTGCCCCCTCCCCACTCACATATCTCGCAGGTGCCACTACCCTCGCATAACGCGGGAACGTCTGGAGGCAGTGGCGTGCAATGATTTGCAATTCTGGATCCGGGAGCATGACAGTGGCGACTCTGAGGTGAACAGCAGGAAGGACAGCGGCGACAGGATCGACAGGGGCGACTGGCACCTGTATTTTCAGCTTGCCGGAGCTAGGGGGCCCCCAGCCCTGCTGGACAGCGCTAACATCAGCAACGCGCTTAGGAGGCGCGCTAGCGACAGGAAGCCCCCATCTTCCCGGCAGGTGACTTTGGTGAATCTGTTGCATCCGCAGCGCTGCGCAGTGTGTTCTCGGGCTTGGCTGATTGTGGCATAAGATCTACGCCAGTCCAGAGCAGATCTGATGACTGCTGACTCGAGCGAATGGTCGGCCACATCATGCCCGCACCCGACCATTGTGCAGGTGCCACCTTCCCAGGCAGCGGATGCAGCATCCCTAGCACTGCTGTCCACGTTAGCGCTAGAGCAAGCGCCACCTATGTTCCAGCAGCAGCAGCAGCAGCAGCAGCGGCAGCGGCGGCGGCGGCGGCGGCGGCGGCAGCAGCAGCAGCAGCAGCAGGAGGATGAGGAGGAGCAGGAGGAGGAGGTGGAGGAAGACCTTGATCAGCAGCGCAGCCATCAAGACGAGACACCCCACCACTCACATGCGAAGCGGCGGCAGAGGATCGTTGAGAGCAAAGACTTTGACCAGGCCAACAAGGATTCAGACATGCCAAGCCCCTGGGACACCACACAGACACCACCGGCGCGGCCGCCGCCTCCTTCACCCCCAGAGCTGCCAGCGCCGCCGCTCCTCTCGCAGCTGCTGCCGCTACCGCTGCCGCCGCCCCCTGCTCCGGCGTTCGACGCCTCACTGGCAGGCGCCCTCGCTGACCTGGCCTCCGCGCTGAGACTGCTCAGTAAGGACGAGGCCAGGGCGCGCCAAGATGCGGCAATGTGGCAGCAGGCGCGAGCGGCGCTCGAGGGGGTCGTATCGGGCAGTGAGCAGGGCATGGGCGAGGGGGACGCCACCCAGCGGCTGCGCGCCCACTTGGAGGGCGTCTGCGCAGACGCGCGCGACTATGATGCGCGCTTGCAAGCGGCGGCGGACGCCAGCAAGCGCCTTCGACTCCTCATCCTTGCGGCGGCGGGCGCACAGCCCGGCGCAGGCTGCAGCAAGGACGACGGCCAGGGTCAGCTTGGTCTTGACTGCCAGGACCAAAACGAGTCTATCACAGCTGCGCTGGAGGTCGTGGCTTCCCACATGCACGCTCTTGAGAGCAGGGCCGCCGCGTTGGGCCAGCTGCAAGCAGACCTGGGACAGCAGGCCGCGGGTGCGGAGCGTTTGGGGAGGCGCTGCGCGGAGCTGGGCGTGCTTGGCAGCGTGCCGTTGGCAGCTGCCGCGCTAGGTGTGCGTGAGGTAGCTGCTTGGGTGCAGCAGGAGGCGGACGCGGCAAGGGAGGCCATGCGCGGGGCGACCAGCCAAGTCATAGCAGTGGTGCGTGGAGGGTGATTGAGGGCGTGTTGTGGGGGAGTTGTGGGGCGGGGGAGGGGGAAGGGCGCCAACCCCCACTCACCGGGGTCCTGCCCCCTCCGAGTTTTCCCGTTGATATGAAGTTGTTGTTTTGATTGGGAGAGCTTGCACGCGTGACGGATGCACCAGCATGTGCAGTGCTACCGCGGTCTGCCTGCGCGCTTGCCCAGTCAAGCTGGACAAGAGTTTAGGGTCGAGCTGCTGTCTTGCGTAGTAATCAGTGTGGGTTCAAGCTGAGGCACGTCCCCAACAATTAGTCAGATGCATGACATAATGCTGCAAGCACATGACCAGGGCATGGATTGTCAGCAAGTGCGAGCTGCAGTGCCACAACTCTCCTCGATGCACAGTGACTTTTCACCGGCAACTGGGGGTGGCGGTGCGCTTGGCAGGTATCATTGAAGCGCATTGTAGCAGTATAGTGAATCTTCAAAGCATGTCGGATGTTTGTGCATGGGGATTCATACGCTGGGTCCCTTCGATGATCCGAGTGCCCGTGATCTCAACCTCGTCGCACCGCACTTTGTCTTCGTGGACGCCTGCAGGGAATCAGAGTGTTAGTACCGGTTTGAATTCGTATGCACAACAATACAATCTAAAAAATACATTTGATCTCGCTCTCGTCACGTCCGGTTAGAACTCGCCCATACGCGAACCCATGGCCAAGGGAGACGAACCACCACCGGCCAAGAAGGCCAGGGCCGGCAGCCACGCAGGCGATGATGCAGGCCCTCCTGCTCCCAACGGCGGCCCCGTGGCCTCGCAGCTTGCGCCCGAGGGAACGGCCGCTGCTGCGGGCGGGCGAGGGCGCCGCAAGGGGCCGGAAAAGCCGAGTACGACTCAATTTGGCGAGCTGATCACCAGCGTGGGCGGGCTCGGGGGCCTCGGCGGCGGCGAGGAGGGCGGCGAGGGCGAGGATGAGGAGGTGCGCGGAACGCCCGCCTGCTGCTGCGGATTGGCCCATATCAGCGCCAGCCTTCCTGGCTGCGGTTGCTGACCCCCTTCGCCGCAGATCAGCACGGGTAGACCAAAGATCTGCGCCGGCGATAAAAATCCGCAGCAGACCGGCCCAGCAGGACAGCGGCAACCGCTCCCACGCAAGCGCCGGCTCGCTGTGCAGCATTCCACGCGCAGCGCGCGCCGGCGGCCTGTCGCCATCGCCGGTCCCGCTGGCTGCAGTCGCCGCGGCAGCCCTGAGCTGCGTGCACCACCCCCCACGCCAACGCGATCGCTTTCTTATAAAACCCGTACACAGGTGGAAGAGGAGCTGCAGGCAGCAGTGCAGAAGATGCTTGAGGCGCGCGCCCACAAGGCCCAGCGCAAGCAGCAGCAGCAGCTGGAGGAGACGCAGGCCGGCGTCAACGCGCAGGTGCGCTCACATGCAACTACACAGCTGGCGTCGTCCTTTGCGTAGTCACATCACACGCACCTTCCTTCCAAACAGACTTCCCCAAGTACCTCTGCCTTTGAACAAGCAAACACACGATATCAATTGCTGCATGTGCCATATGACACACGGTATGTACCCAATCCATCCGGCACTTCCACTGCCCCCATCCCTTTGGTTCCCCAATCCAATATCCTGAAGTGCAAACCCTTCACCCTGTGCCCCTCAGCTCCAGCAGCTGGATCAGGCGGTGCAGCGCGACGCGGCCGAGGCGTCCGCGGCGGTGGCTGCCATGGTCAAGGGGCTGCGCGGCAAGCTGGAGGCGAGGATGAGGGCCATCCAGGAGCTGGAGGCACGATTCCAGAAGGTTGCGACCCGGACTAAACCCTGAAACTAACCCCTAAACTTTCAACCCTAAACCCTAAATTCTGAACTGGGAGTCAACAATGCTATGGTGGGGCCTCACCAGGGCGAGAAAGCAGGGGGAAATGGGATGGGACGACGCGCTGGCCGCACGCGCCGCTAAGGCAACGGGTGAAGAGCGGCTGCTGCGTGACTCCCCTGCCTTCTGGTTGCATGGCTCAACTTGGCCGCGCATGTCGCCCTCCTCCTGCGCAGGAGCTGCAGGACAAGTGGGAGGAGTACAATGGTGCGGCCGGCTTGGGATGAGCGGGGCGCGGGCAGCCAAAACTGCAGACCGCTGGCGGGCGGCCGTCGTGCCACCACCATTGCAACCTCGATCGGACACACTTTCAGGGCTCGCGGGCCGTCGCATGCCCATCCAAGCGTGCGGCACATGACCAGTGACTTACTTGCTGCCACCCCCCTCTCGCCAGAGCTCTACTCCACCAGCCTGGACGAGGTCCAGGCCCAGGTGATGACGTCACCGCATCATCATCAATGTCTCGCTCATACGTCGACCGTCTGGACCGGCCCAGCTCAGAAACCAGGCATTCCAAACCAAACCCTTGATTTGTGCAAACCCTCCGGCGTCCCTGCCAGCCCCCCGCTGCTCCACAACACTAAGTCATCATCGCCGCCCTGATCCTGGCCTTGGACGGGCTCGGCGGCGGCACTTCTCCGTCCCATCTGCGCTGTCCCTGGCAGCATGGCGCCTGTCACCCACGCCGCACCAATACCTCTCACCCAAACCTGCCGGTCGGGCCCCCCCGAATCCACCCCCAGGCGCAAAAGCTGGTGGCCAAGAAGACCGCGGCCCACAAGAAGCGCCTCGACGCCATCAGCGCAGACGCTGCCGCCAAGGTCAGCGCCGCTTACCACCCACCGCAGCAGCATGCTGCGCAGCCGCCGTCGCCTGCAGACCAGCCCCGCTGGTTGCGGCCGGCCATGAGCTCGGCTTGCTACGGCCCTGGCTGCTGCCCTATGTGGCAGCAACAAATATGGGGCGGACACGCCCCCCTGCTGATGTGCAGGGAATCATCGAGATTATGCATTAGTGGTGCACCTGGAGATCTCCGGCTGTTGATAGCTGCCGGCGTGGGCAACGCACGCAAGTTTTTGAGCGGGCCTGCCGCTGCACAACTGACCGTTCGCTGCTGCCCAACCGCCCGCCGCCGCACGTGTGCGCCGGCGCAGCTCGCGGAGTTGGAGCAGAAGTTTGCCAGGAGCCGCAGCCGCGGCGACCAGGTGCCCAACCTCGCCTCAATCCTCAAGGTGTGGCTCGGCGCCGGCCCCTCGCGAGCGCATGGGGTTAGTTTGTGCACATACACCACAGCAGGCGCGGCGATGCGGCAGGGCGCGCGCCCTCGCAGGCGCTGGGTGCCCCACGCATGCAAGCACGGGCTTTACGCCCGTCCGCCGCGGGAGCGAGAAACCTGCGACGCCGGGCAGCGCGCCTGGGGTGCTGAGTCATGCGGCCTCGTGCCAACCCCCTGCGCCGCGCTCCCCTTGGCGCATCGCACTGCACCGTGCTTCACAGGCCTACCTGTAGCGGCCCCCCCTGTGGGGCCCCTCCGCCCCCTCAACTCTCGCCGCACCTGTTCAAGCAACATGAGACAAGGCCCTGGCGCCACTGGAAATTGCCCGCGCATCAAGCCCAGCGCAAGCAACAAGGCGCACTGTAGGCCAGGGGAGGGCGGAGACGCGAGCTAGAGCGACAGGGCCTGGCGGCAGCCGCAAACGAGGGCACCGAGCTCGAGGGAGCCCTGCGTTTACTCCATTTACCGCCGCTGGCTGCGGGGCTGACGCGGGCGGAGCCACTGCCATCGAGCCTGCAAGCGGGCAGCGCGCCGCGGCCTGCCTCCAGCTGTGCTCAACTGGGGCTGTCCCTCTTGCTGTTGATCTGTGGGCCGTTTGTGAGGGCCGCCGAGGGTTTTCTCTGTCGTTCCCGGCACCCGGCTGCCGACAACCAACACGATTGCCGCGATGAGCTGGTGTTACATGATGCATGGACGCCAACGGTCCGCCGGCGGCGGCGCGGGGCGTCCCCGCCGGCGGCTGCGCCGCGCGGGCGGGGTCTGCGAGGAGCAAGCTGCCGCAGTAATCGAAAGAGGTATTAAACGGTGCAAGCGCGCGGCGCCGCGGGTGCGTGTCGGGCCGGCTTGGCCGAAGCCGCCGCAAGTCAGTGCGACGGGGGCTGGTGAAACCATATAGAGTCAGTGGCTGCCCCGCGGGGCGCGCCGGATTGCGGGGCAGGCGGGGCCGCCCGAACAGCCGCCGTCGGCCCGAAACGTCGTCGGCGGTCGGGGTTGTGTTGCGGTCGGCGCCGGGTTGCCAGCAAGCAGTGTCGCGGCGACGAATCGACGAATCAAATCATGCATGCGCGGCACGAGAGGGCGCGGCACTATGGCAGGTAGACCCCCGGTACGAAACGGGTGACCGAGCAGCGCAGGGTGACCGATGCAAAGCGCGCGTGCGTGCAGTGCATTCATGAAACGAACTTAGTCAAGGCGATCAAAAGCGCGGCGTGCGGATATCAAAATCGGCGGG